CTCAACTTTGACTTGGGCTCAAGTCGTGGAGGTTTTCTCGGCTGTATAACGGTTGAATACGGGAGGCGACTAGCAGTCAGAAAGAGCAATGTCTGGACTACACCGGTGCAAGGGGAGAGCCATCCAGCTCTATTGCATGAAGTACGGCTAAACTTTTTTGACGGGGTGTGCTGCACCACGTTGAAGACGGACTGTGCCGATGGATTTTGCCCTCTGCTTGACGATTCGCTTCAGATCTCGTAGCTGCCTTGCGTACGGATTGACCGAGGAGGCAGCTTCTTCATCCAGTAGTTTCCCGACCCACCGCTATCTAGAGCTGAGTTTACAGGTACTCCCGAACCTCACTTCGTCATTCGAACCGTAGGCTCCCGCTCTGAAGAGCTAGCGTCGTGGAAGATTGTCTGATGACTGTAGACATTGTCCTTGTGCAGCTCCATTATTTCGGCGTCGACAGCTGCCATGCTGGCGCCAGGGTGGTAGAAGAAATAGTTTAAGGAAGCGCTTGAAGGGGTCGGTGCTGAAGGTAGCGGATAACATTCTTGTCCATAATGCAGAATAAGGATGAGCAGGAGCCGAGCCAGTGACACTATAGAAAGATCAATCCTTAATGTATAATGCTCACATTACCCTCTTCAGGTAATAGGCGAATACTTGGGTCATAAAAGTATGACAGAACTTTCCCGTCAACCTAATAGAAAGGCGCTGTCTAATGGTATGCCCCAACTACCTTAGTGCTTTTACATGTGCCGGCTTCTAAGCAGTTCCCTCGCGGGGCGGTTTCATACTGAGTGGGTGCGATATTCGTGTCTGCAGTACAATCTACTCGTGATGATAAATTTCTGGACAAGTCGAAGTTTTGGCAATCAAGTGCGCCGTGTAATCTGGCACAAATTGAAACTGGTATGGTTTCGTTCAGTTCCGCATCGGATGTCGGTAGGGATACTATCAGGGTTTCCCCCTCCCCTAATCCGAGCTGTGCCTATTCTGCTCGAAAATAATTGAAGCGGATTAGCTTATATCTGCAAGGTTCACAAAACTAATGCCGGAGTTGCAGGAAAAGCAAGAGCAGGCGGATCAGAAAAAAGCAAAGTTTCATCAACCAGAGGGCGACCATATGACGCTCTTAGCCGTGTACAATTCCTGGAAGCATCATCACTTCAGTCAGCCGTGGTGCTTCGAAAACTATGTACAAATAAGAACTCTCAAGCGTGCGCAGGACATACGGAAGCAATTACTCGGTATCATGGACCGCCACAAGCTGGACCTGGTCAGTTGCGGTCGCGACGTCCAGAGAATTCAGAAGGCCATCTGTTCCGGTTTCTTCAAGAATGCGGCGAAACGAGATCCTCAGGTTTGCTGCTTATTTCTGCTTATTAGCGATTCTTCAATCACCAGGACCGACGCACTTTTCATTTTTAGGAAGGTTACCGAACTCTCGTGGATGGGCAGAACGTTTTCATCCACCCCTCATCTGCGTTGTTCCAGAATCAGCCAGAATGGGTTGTGTATCATGAACTTGTTATGACGACGAAAGAGTACATGCGAGAGGTTTGCTTATTTTGTGAACTCATGGCGGAAATTTTCGAGAAGCTGACTGCAAGCTATCTTTGTTTAACCAGAGCTAAACCTGATTTTTGAAACTAGTCGCTTTCTTTTGACTTTCGGAACTACACTGGTGTGCAAAACTTAGGACGAAAGCAACTTTCGATCACTGTGCCTCTGCCAGACAACATAGCTCGATGAAATTCATATCATATCAAGAGAGAACCTTAACGATATTGTACAGAAAGCAACTGACAGAAACTCGGAATAAGACGAATTGTTATGACATTTTTATTCAACCATGTCGATTACACATAAGTCTTCACGATTTATCCTGGTACTACAAAAGAAGTTACACGGATCCTAATAGGGTGTGTGATCACCACGGACAATCCTGTACTCTCCACGAGGTTGGTAATGAGTTCCTGGGGCAGGGCATTCCACTCCTCAATCAGTGCATTTGACAATTGCTGGATCGTCATTGGTGCATTTGGTCGTGCTGCAATGCGTCTACCCAGTGCATCCCACACGTGCTCGATGGGATTTAGGTCGGGGGAACGGGCGGGCGCGCCGGATATCCTCTCGTTCTAGAAGCTCCTCCACCTGTGCTGTTCGATGCGGTCGCGCATTGTCATCCATGAAAATGAAGTCAGAGCTCTGAAAAGACGGACATGATGTAGGAGAACCTCGTCGCAGTAACGCTGACTGGTGAGGGTTCCATGCTCAAAAATCTGGAGGTCAGTACGGCCATGCAACATGATGCCTCCCCATACCATAACACCTCGACCACCAGTACGATCACGTTCGACAATGTTTCCGGGGGAGTTGCGTGTTCCCACCTCTCGCCATATGAGGGTGCGTCCAGAATCACTGCTCAGACTGAACCTGCTCTCATCCGAAAAGAGCACACGGCTCCATTCCTCATCGGTCCATTCGCCATGCTCCTGGCACCACCGTAAACGGTCTCGCCGATGCGCGGGGGTCAAAGGAACACAACGTAACGGTCGTCGGGCGAAGAGACCACCACCATGCAGTCGTCTTGCCACTGTAGTGCGTGAGATGGCTTGCCCTAGAGTCCTGTTAAACGTCGTTGC